AGAACACTCCAGCTCAGCAGAATGTCACCAGCAGCCAGAAGCAAAGCAAACAAACATGACAAAGCCTGGGTCACAAACCACACTTGGTGACCGTCCATTGGAAGATGAAGCCAGATTGGCCCAGACACTGGCAGAAGTACAGCCATCCCGCACTGCTGCAACAGCACCACACTTACAACAATCCATTTCAGCAACAACGGTGAAAGCAGCATCAGAACAGCAGATGGCTCATTTGGCTGCCAAAGATAAATTCAGAAAGCAAAGAGAGGAGAATTCACTTGCCAAAAGACAAAGGGAAGCTCAGCGCAAGCTGGTTCCGAGGAAATGCAAAGAAGAAGTCAAAGAAGAAAGCTCGGAATCAGGTTCATGTGATCGCAGCAGCAAGGTTAAGAAAGCCAAGAAGAAACGTTCAGATTTGATATCAATTCACAGCAGCCCTGCCACCAGCGTGAAGCGAGAAATCCCAGAGTCAAGCCACAGCAGCCCCGCTTTCAGGAAGAGGAATCGTGGAGATAGACCAACCGCTCGCAGACTGGACTTTGAAGAAGCGGCTCGCCCAGGCAAAGCGCAAAGAATTGAAGTGGCACCAAGTTCACCCGTCAAAGCAACACCTACATCAGCAGCATCTACTATGACACCATCAGCAGAAAAGGCGACTCCAACATCAGCCATCACAAGCATGACCTATCGTTCTGATTCACTTACCGAAGATGAGCACGTAAAGTGTTTGGTGCTACCAGAAACGGCTTTCCAAGAACTGCACCAGAGCAACGGAGGCACCATTCTGCGAAGCTATGGCTTGTCCAAGCTACCAACCACATTCCATATTGTGGCCAGTGTCAACAAAGGAAGCAACTATGCTTACCTGGGCAGCATCAGAGTGGAGGAGTCATCCTTGATAGAAAGAAAAACCACGCTACGCAAGCTGAACTTGAGCATTGCAGATCTTGAGTTTTGGAAGAAAAAATTGCAGGAACAAGCTGGAGTGTTTGCGTGGCGTGTCACCCACGTACAGTGGATCAATCCAAAGCTTGTGAGATTTACTTCTTCCAAGTTCAGGAACCGACACTTCGAATGCCGTCGGAAGCTACTTGAGCAAGGTAGCCCGAATATCAGCATCCCGGATCCATCCTTGCACAGTACCAGCAACTATTTCTTGAAGCTGCTACCAACCAAAGCATATACCATCCTGCGAGCAAATGCCAGTGCTTTAGATGGATGTGTGCTACGCGTAGGGACGGGTTGCTCAGGCTGTGATGTGGGCATCCGGGCAGTCCAAACTGTGCTGGATACAATGAATCAGGAGTTTGGAGTGAACATCCGTCTTGAGCATGTCTTTGCTGCTGAAATCCAAGGACAAAAGAGAAACTACATTCTGCAGGAGCACAACCCAAAGCACCTGTTCTCAGATGTGGTTTGCTTCAGCCGGGGATCTGGGCATTGCTTCAAATCCGGGTGTGTTCACCGTGTCACACGAGAGACGATGACAATAGACCTGTACTTGTGCGGTCCCAGCTGTAAGGATATGAGCCACTTGGCCTGAAAGTTAGTTGGCAATACCTTTTGAACTTATCCTTGCCTGTAGCTCCTGCAATCTTTGGTGTTCTGCAATGCAGTATATAATCTACACTATTATGTATAGAACATATATAACATGTGTACACTGTACACGTTTTTGCTCCTCCATTTTGTGTGAGGTCGCCTGAAGTCAGCAAGATCCTCCTTTGCAGGATGTTATGAAACCAATGAGAAGGAGCAGACACAACCAGTACAAGGCACCAGCAGCTTCACCTACAAGCACGGATGGAAAAGCGTAGCTAGGATCCATCAGTCACTTTTTTGAGGATGTTCTAAGATGTTCTAAGTATGAGGTCCTGCAGGGTCTGGTGTATTGTGTATTGTGCCCCGAGCTCAACGTGTCTGTTTTTGTTTGAGCTCATTGCACAAAGGTTCTTGAAAATCTCTGTCCTTTGGTTGCCATCTACGAGAACGTGATGTCCGTTGGGCATTGCACCAAAGGCCCTGATGGAACAGATCATCGCCCTGCAATTGAAGTGGCTTGGACTTGGGTGGATGTCATAGAGGTTGTTCACCTACACCCAAGGTTCTAAGTATACAGTTCCCCAGCTCATATACTTGGGGAACTTGTTGTAAGTTGTAGGAAAGGTTGGGTGAACTTTAATGTTACCCCTTTGAGCTCAGGTGGTTGCAGAAGATGCTTCAGCTGCCGGCTATGAATTTGCTGCCTGGCTCACTCATGGATCCATGTAGGTTCCTATGCTGGCATGAATTTTGGGTGAGTTTTTCTGTGTCTCAAGCGCAACCTGTTTTCTTAAGTGCAACCTATTTTGTTGATACGCATTCAGGCTTGGTCAACCTTGGACAGCCAGAACTTCCTTGTACGGCAGCGCCGGAATAGAGTTTATGGAGTTGCCATGTGTCAGTTTGGGGAAAAGGGCCAGGATGAGTTTGACACCCGGTACCGGCGGAACATTGCAGCTTTGCAGTCACACTGCCACTTCCCCATGGAGAGCATTTTTGGGCAAGATGAACCGGAGGAGGAGCTGCGTACGGAGCGTGAAAGGGAACTTCTTCAGCAAGCGATGGCAAAGGCAAATGCAGTTGCTCGATCGATATATATATATACTTTTTCTCTGGGCTTCCGGAGGTCTTTGTCCTGGATACAAATGAGGAAGGAAATTTCTATAAAAAAGTTTCATATATATATATATACTTCTAGTTATCTATAATAAACATGAACCTTTGCTTATATGTATATAAGTGTTCTACCACCTGCTTTTCTTGGCGTGTTCTAAGTGTATATGCATGTCACCCATTGTGGCTGAGGCTGGCCTCACCGATGGCAACATCTTCCTCGACACTAGCTCGTCATTGGACAGAGGGGCAGAGTTTGCATACGAGGTCAGCACATGCGTGACACCTTCACACAATGTGTATTCAGCGCTGCTTTCGCGATACTTGCTACCCCAAGAGCTTCTTGCAGTACAAGGGATTTTCAGGTGCGATGTTTCCAACAAGCAGGCGTTTGACAATCTTCTTGAGACAAAATCCAAAGATGTTCCGACTTCCTTGGCCCAAGACATAGCTGGCAATAGCTTTACAGGCACTGTTGTGCAGGCTGTATGTTTAGCTGCCTTGGCTAGCTCTTCAACTTGGGAGCGGATCCAACCCGAAGAGACCAGAGCTCTAGTACCAGCAGCGATGGATGACCAGCGGCCGGAAGACAGCCGTCGGGGGCAGAAGCGCAAGTTGGCAGAGGATGATGAGATCAGCCATCCCTTGCAACAGTGGCTCCCATCATGCCGTATCCGGGGGAAGACTTCACAAAGTCAAATGCAGCCAGCTAGCAAGAAGGTTAAGAGGAAACGTGGCCAAGGCAAAGGCAACAAACAGGCCAAGGGGAAGCAACCTATGGCCACCATTGCTCAGAAAGAGGCTATATTCCAAGCCTTGGAAGATGCCAAAAAGAGCGGAGCAGCCAACCCATACAAAGAATTGGCCAAGAAAAAGCTTCCTGGCTTCTACCCTGGCTGCACTTTCCGGTCAAAATGGGGCCATGTTCGGGAGACGCAGAGATGGGATCTTCTGGTTCAGACTGCACCGCAGGTTTGCAGCAAGTTTAAGGAACTGCCAAATTCCATCCGCCGGATCATGCAGTTTGACAAGATGAAGCATGGGGAATCCAACTGCCCATCGCAGAAGAACTCCTGCTTGCCTTTTGCATTGAAAGAAGTGATTGAGGGTCTAATCATGGACCGTGTGGACATGGGGGAGGAAGTTACGATCCAGTTTGTCAAATCTACAATTCTTTTCAGTGCTTCCCTCTGGAATGAGAATATTGAAAGCATGAAGCAAATTCTGGAAGCCAAGAAAATGGACATGCTGCAGGTTCATGATGAAGAGCTCTCCAACATGTCACCGGAGGAGATTGACAAGCTGTTTGATGATCTGACAGAGCGGGCTGCAGAGATATTGCAGCCAGTCAACTTGACCGAGACTGATGGTGCGCTTTTGACACTGGGCTGAGCATTAAGCATGGTCAGAACATGTTGAGAAAGACATGTTCCAAAGTTGCAATGTGTTCTTCCAAGTTTCAATGTATGTTCTAAGTATGACACACTCCAAGGGTTTGCCTGTCTGTTTTTGCGATTGCTCATTTGTGTGATTTGTGGACTGGCTCAACAAGTCACTTTAGGAAGCAGGCTCAGCGCCTTTGCAACACCTTTGGATTGGTTGCGCGGTCCAATGAGAAGCCTGGTGCCCATCTGGCATATGAACATGCTAGCCTTGAGGCTGTCAGGACCTATATCAAGTCCCTGGTGGTTCAAAAGAAAGTCCATGAGAGGCTGGTTGGGAACTTCGACCAAGTCTGGTCTTTGAGATTCAGGCCGGCGAGGACAACATACATGAAGGATTCCACGCTGCGGGGATGCACCAAAGACCCACACTCCCGTTCAACCATGATGCGGAAGATACGGCATTGCTTGGAAAGGAGTTTGGACTTGCCCCTTACAGAGCGAGATCCTTCAGATCCATCTCCGCCTGAGCCAAAGCCACCTCAGGTAACAGGCGGCCATGCCGCCTCGGCTTTGGTTGACGAGTGGCGCTTACCGCGGACGGTTTGCACATTGAGCTTCTGTGACGGCTACTTGGGCAGATCGTTCATCAGCATGCGTTCCGGAACCATGAGTGAGGAAGTGCGCACCAAGCTGAACCGTGAGCTCAGCAAGCACCTGGTGATTGACGAGTTTCAACCCAAGTCACATGTGTGGAATCAGGAGACCTTTCTGCGTTACCTGAACTTCCTAGCGGAGGAGATATGTTTTGAGATGTTTTGAGAAGAGCCAAACACAGCACCTCATGTGTTGGTATGTTCTAAGATGTTCTAAGTATGTTCTTCTACAATGGAATGCCAAAGGTCGATGCCAGGAAGTTCTAAACATATATATATATTATATATATATATGTTCTAAGTATGTTCTTCTACAATGGGCGTGTCCTTTCTCTCGTGGCAGGAAGTGAGATGGAGGAGGAAGCAGTTGAAAGTCAGCGCATCAGCCAGAGCTCTCATATTCTGCGATCAAGCTGCTGCTCATATGTCACAACGGTTCAGGCGCATCCACGAGAAGTGGTCCAATGAGCACAACATTGAACCTTTTTTCAATTATAAATACACACATTTTGTGCTCTTTACACATATGTAATATGTAATGAGTATGTATGTCAAAAAAATATTGTTTCAAGAGTTCTGGAATGTTCAGGATGTACAAGACTTAGGTGCAATGTTCTAAGTGTATTGTTTCCCAAGCTAGTTCACCATTTCATATTGCAGAGCAACTTTCACTTCCCACTTGTGATATAAGGAGCTGATGACTGGCCATTCAGAAGTGCCGATCCCGGGCGGCTTTGGAGCCGCCGGGGCCCCTAACGATGGTTGGCACCAGGTCCACCATGCAGTATCCAAGGGATACCTACGAGCAGCAGTGCAATGGAGTTGTGCTCCTCAATTGCGTCGACGGATGGATGAACTTCAAATGTCGCTCCAGTCAAATCCTGCTACAAAGTCCCGTGGCTGCAGGGCAACAAATGAACAATTCAGAAATATTCAGGATGTTATATAGATGAGCTCCAAATAACAATATATCAAGCTCCAGTCAAACTGAGACATATCGAGAAGCCATAATGTTTATGTATATATATATTATACAGGGCGCTTAGTTGGATAATTTTGCGCACATCCCAGGTGCCCTATGGAGGCATCGCTGCGGGCAGACGCTTTTGCGCACAAACAACTTGGCAGTTCAGAGTCCCTGAGATGCAATTGTTCACGGGGTAGGCAAAATGGTATGTTCTAAGTGTTGGCATAGGGCAGCCAATGCTTTCAGATTGCCTGCCACTCACAGTCTGCAGGCACAACCGTTTCATATGGATGGCCTGGCTCAACCGTGGCTATGTGCAGAAGGAGCAGCTTGCTTCATGGCTGTTTGGCGGACACTTGGGTTTCCGTTTCAGGCCTTTTCCAGTGTTCATCTCCGAATGTTCTAAGTGTTAGAATCACCTTCTATATAAGTTGAAGAATTGTGGGATGATTCTTCCGGATTTTTGCTGTTTATGCTTCAGCTGTTATTTGGTGATTTCTGCAAAGTGTATGGTTCACGCATTTCATGTGGGGAACAATTGGTCGTACTTGACTTGGTGTTGGCAGGTAATCTGGAGAACTTGGAGGCCCAGATGAGGTCCTACCGCAGCAGCATGCAGGATGTTTTGCAGCTGACGGAGATTCCTGACATTGAAGAGGAAGATGTGGGTCAGCATCACATGCGTGTGGTTGAGCTAGTGGCCGGTCTGATATTGAGTGAAGTCTTCAAAGCTACACCAACATACTGTAAGGCACAAGGCTCCAGGTTTTCCAGGAGCCTAGTGTGGTAATTGTTCTAAGTGTATGATTCCCAAGCTGATTTGCCACCATGTGCTTTGCGGGAAGCAGTTCAAGAGGGATGTATTTCTGAGTGTGACATGTGGACAGCTCGACCAAGAGACGTGGGTGGGGAAGCCAGGAGTTGTGCAAAGTACTTTGTGGCTCTCGGAACTATATATATTTACACAGGTTCCCCCAACCAAGCTGTGTTGTTACGACTTGTTCTAAGTGTATGTTTGCCAAGCTGATTTGCAACAGAAGCCTTTTCTACACTCCTCACATGTCATATCACAGTTCAACCAAGACATGTATGCATAAACATTAGCAGCGTTCATTTGTTTGTATTATAGGATACCGCAGGAGTATTGTCCACTAGCAGAGTTGTGCCCACAAAGTATGCATGGGTCTAATAGATTCCAACATTTTTGGCCCAGTTCTAAGTGTATGCTTCCACAGCAGCTAACAGTTTGACCCGACAGAAGATAAAATAGCTAAATATATACTTTTTTTCTTATATAATATATATATATATATCACATTACACTATGTATTATGTCTTCCCGACTCCGGCCGGGCCTTCCAAGGCAGATGAGCAACCATGTCAGTGGGCTGTGCAAAATGGGGATGATGCCCAGACCCGTCGCCCCCTGCCGGGCTGGATGGCTTCTGTGCTGGAGATCAGAGTGGCTCAGTTTGTGGATGACTCCCAAAGGTGGCAGGAGAAGATCATGAAACGGGATTCCGCTGGAAAGTCCCTCACCCGAGCCCAGTTAGAGAAATACAATCAGTGGAAGCTGGGCCACAATCCCAAGATCATCTTTGACAGAACCAAACGCAGGTGCATCACTGATGCCAAACAGGTGAACAAGGACTGCTTTGCCGTTCAGCTGCATCTCAGTGAAGAGGCTGCTCAGTTGGAGCTCTCAGCCTGCACAGGAAGTCGCTTTCGCCTTCTCCTTCTTCGCGGGCCCAAGGTTGAAGTGGATGAGAAGGTGGCTATGGACTTTGAGGGGCCAATTCCCCAGGATGCAATCGATGAGCTCCAATCTGGAGAGGATTCAGAGCCAGAACCGGACAGGCCAGCAGAAGCTGAAAATGCTATTCTCGATTTTGAGAAAGCCCAAATGGATGCTGGTGAGTGTGATGGCTTAGAACATTCTGATGAAGTGGATGAAATCATTGGAGATTCAGATGAGGAGTTGGAAGATTTTGGCCTGAAGCCCCAGCGCACTTGCAAAGTGAAGAGCTTCAACTCCAGACCAGCTTGGGTTGAACTGGAGCGCCTGGAGCTTACAAGTTTGCCCCGGCACATCACAGGCTGTTCAATTGGCTTCCACGTGAGCAGCCGACAGTGGCACGGCTTTTACCCACATGTCCACAGTGGGCTGTGCTGGAGCTTTGGTGGCCGGACAAACCGGACCGAGAAGGAAGCAATCTTGCGGACAATTCGTGCAATACTAGAAGCCCATATTGCCGCCAATCCAAAAGATGCGATGTGGCGGGTGCAACTGCACAAAATCAAAACAACGGAGGCGACCCTCTAACTCATCCATTCTGCCATGCTGTTGACAGATTTGTTCCAGGTGGATTGTTCCAAGATGTTCTAAGTGTTGATCCTTCCAAGTGGTTCAGCTTTGGGGTTGCATTGTACATGGCAGGATGGTTGTGTGCAACATGCAATGTCTGCTGTGTACAGGGCATCGGATCATTGGGTCAGATGCTGAATCTGCGGGGTTGGGGGGAGCTATACTCAAAAGCTCCAAAGACTGCTCGAACAGTGAGCGCGAGAGAAAGAAAGATAGCTTGATGGAAGGAGTTTGTTTGGTAGGTGAATGTTCTAAGTGAAGTGCTTGCCATGGGTATGCGTTGGTATGTATGTCAAATGATCTTACAGCGTTTCTTAAAGAAGGATAATCCTGACATGTTCTAAGTATCACTTTCCCCAATGTTCTAAGTAAGGCGTTTTTAGATGCATTCTTGGTATGTCACATGTTCTAAGTATGTGGTATTTGTTCCTTTCTAAGTATTGGTTTTTCCATTTTGGAAACTTTTTTATGTTCTAAGTATATGTCTGCAACTATATATATGATATATATATATATGATATATGATATATGTCTGAATGGGGCCGCGTTAGGATCAAAGCCACGTTCAAGCAGAATTTGCAACGCTGAAACTCCAGCCTCGCCAAGACCGAAACATCTGCATACCCAAAACATCAATGGAATGCGAAATGATCAACATTCACAGTTCCCCAATCTCTATGTTCTCTATGATTATAGTAGATGCACGTGTGTGTGTATACTGTACTGTATATACTATATATATATATGATATATATATATATATGTATGGACGTACGACGTACACATTTATCCAGCCCCCAATCAGACACCCCAATCGACCCTGAAACGTAGGCAAATTGGCGTTTGGGTCATACACCAGGCAAGCAATGACGGCCGTCGGTTGAGCAATGCTTCTCGCATGCCTCACGGCTGGTCTCTTTGCAAATGGCATCTTCGACCTGAGGCGTGAACAACGGCGGAACTCGACGCAAATCCGTTCAGATCAAGGCAGTTGGCCAGTGAGAAACAGTTCAACTCTGCAAAGAGTCTGGCTCTTCGCCAGTTGCTGCGCAGGGCTGCAGCAGTCATGGGTGCAATGCGTGCCTGCTTTAGCAATGAGTGCCACACTTGAGCTCTTACTCACTGTCCGATTTTCCAAACGCTCCAAACTACCAAGACTATTGCATTGTCTTCCCACCTCTGCCCAAGCAAGGTCCATCTCCCGTGGCTTCCGCCCAATGCGAGCTAGCTCCCGTCTCACCCAGCGCCTGGTGGTAGACAAAGAATGTGCACAGTGATGCACAGTGCTCTGGCCATGCTAGGCAAAGCAATGCAAAGAAAGGATCTCACTAACAAAATGTGCTCACAAGCAAACAAAGTGCTTTGGTGGTCCATCCTGGACATACCTTGGAATTATACCTTACCATAGTTGGGTGGTACCGTCCACGTGGGTACACCCATCAGGTTCGAATTATTCTTGAGAGTCTGGACTGTCTGAAGGCAAACAAGAGAACTAGTTGCAAGGAGCTACTAGTAGCTTCTTGCTTTTATTAGCGATGGCCTCCACATGCCTCCACCCTAGTAGCTTCTTGTTACTACTCGATTGTGAAGAATCTTCCAACATCTTCAAACTAAGAAAAGCTGAGGTGGGTCCCGGTCCCCCTCCCCCTGGGGATTGACTGGGTGATTCATAGCAAGAGTCGCGCACAAGTCTTTCCGCAGTAAATCACTATTAAATAGTAGAATAATTTGCCGCGTTCTTTTCTTGCGTCTTCGTGCTTGGTTGGTTTGTCATTAGAGGGCCTGAACTGCGGGAATGGAAATCCACATAATTTCCGTTTGAATTATTCCTAGGTGGTTGGCTGCTTGGTTCACCCAAAAGAGACAATCTGGCACGTTAGGCAGAAGCGAAAATGCACGCTTTCACACATCTGAGAACTCCACATTCCTGAATCTGAGACTCTACATTGTTTTGAAATAGTTTCTATTTAGTTTGGGCCCTTTGACTCTAACTCGGAATGATGGAGCCTGCTGCTGTGTCTTTAAAGGATATAAATCCACCCACACTGAAGGTGCTGAGTTATTGTGTAGGGCGCCGCGTCTGTTTGGGAACAGAATAGCATATTCTGCATCGTGAGGTGTGTCTGTAGGAAAGTAGCGACGGAAGAAAACATTGAAAAAAAAAGGTGTTGCAAATTTGACTTGGAAGTGGTGTGCCATATGTCGTGGAGTGTAGGGTATAGAACATGAAATGGTAGGCTTTCGGTGAGAAATGATCCAAGCTGTTGATAACTGCTGAAACGAGTCGTTTGTTTGCCTTTCATGGATCTGGTAATGCAAATGATGCAATAGTGATTGACATATTTGATGCATTAAAACATACAAAAAAAAACATGATCGACAAAAGACTTAAACATGAACGGTACCATTGAGTAGATAAAAACATATCTATCTAAAAAAAACAACAATGCGCAGGCATTGTTGGATACCCGGACCCCCTGAAAAATGCATCATTTCAAGGGGGTCAAAAAATAGAGTTGCAACAACTATACAATACGATACAATATGCATGATCTCTCTCAAAGCAAACGGTGCAGGCGGTTCTGGTCGCAAAGACACATCGACAAGCCATAAATTGATGACTTGGAGTGGAAAAGTGCTTTTAGAAAATGGCTGTGTGAGATGGCTCTTGAAGGTGTTTTCTGGGGCTAGGCTATGGCTTCCGGGTCCACGACATAGATTGGGTCCATACAAAGCTAAAGTTAGACTCTCAATTATTAGTGTCTATTCATTTTGCACGAACCTACACCTGATGAGTTCTGAATTGAAAGAGGAGGTTTCTGCGGTCATTGTGCAATTGCCTTCAGGCTTCGCCGCTACATCAACTGGCTGCCAGTTTCAATCCAAAGACCTCCTCTCACTTGACCATACAAGCAAGCTCCAGTTAAACTGGGATTTAGCGCAGTGGTGAATCTCCTTCTTGTAGTTGCAGTCTGAGTTCTTGTGTTGAGTTTTCTTGGTGTTGTTCTTATCTGCTTCTTGGCTTGGTGATGCCAAGAATCTACTGTCCTTGAAGTGAAAGTGGATCAAAGTGCATGAAGCTGGACTTTGGGGATCAATGTTGAAAATACAACAGTTCTGCTGTAGTTTCTGTTGGTTTTCTGCATGAAACATCAAACATACACCAAACAAATGCCATTGCCATGTTCAAGCCAAAGAATAATCAACAGAAACAAGTTCTTCGGTGTTCTGGCACTTGGAGCTTGGGGACTGTCCGAATTTCAACAATACCAAAGCAGCTTAAATCAATGTCGATAGCTTGTTGGAATCAGCATTGAGGACAACAAACCACATTACGCCTCGAAGAAGAAAAGAAAAGAGCTGAACTTCTTAGGGTCATGTTTGGCAACATGCGTGGCTTGTCCTGTTGTGACAAAACTGTGCGCTTGCAGTGGCTCAGGAACATCTTTGAGTAAAAAAGGCTGGCACAAAATTGTAATGTTTTTGGAGTGCCAACTCTGTTCAAGAAACCAAAGTCCCTGTACAGGTTGATATTGACTAGATCAACACAAATGATTGCTGAGCAGCAAGGATGGATATTGTCTGTTCTCGATCTACGAAACTAAGGACAAACCGTGGCAAAACACGGCAGGAAAAAGAGACTGGAGCCAGCAAGTAGTACCTGTTTCCAAATTAATGCCATTCCTGCTAGAGGTCTATGTACCAAGCCTGCCTCAAGCACCGAAAAATGCGAGTGGCGCTCGTGATCAACGTTGCCGGCGGAGCCATTCTCCATGACCTCCCACACAAAAGACTCTTTTGACTTTGTTTTGAAGCAAAAGCGCATCAAAGTGCCACTAACAAACATACAAGCTTGGCGCCCAACACCCCCAGACGTGCGTTAAAGAACAAGCGGTGCTGGAATTTTGGGGTCTCGGCATGCCAGCATTTTGAGAAAACCAAAGATCTGCGTAGTCAAGAAGTCTGTGATTGACCTTTTGAGCTAGCAGCTATCATTCCTAGGGTCGCCACTGCCATGCGCAAACAGAAGTTGCGCACAAAGTCCCGAACATTGTCGGGCTGTGCCTGCTCAATGGGCGAAGTACTGTCAAACTAACAGATTGTTGAAGCGAGCTGAAGCAAGGCTACGGTCAAAAGCCTGAGAACCGAAAGCAAACCCCAAACAAAAGGCATGCTGTGGACTGTATATAACTATATGTAATGTAGAAACCAATGGTCATTGGGTGGTTTCATGCTGTTTACACTGAGAATGGCAGGGCCCCCTTGACAAAACAGATTCTTTGCCTTCTTCAACTCGGTCTGCAACTCTTTGTCCAGCAATTCAGACAAGTGCGCACGCCTTGAACCCCAAAAAACTGTGTAGATAGTAGATTGTTTGGAGTTCTTTTGGTGCAGGTAGCTCTTTGACTCTTTGGCCACGATGTGTCAGCTGTTGTCAAGCTAAGTGCAAAGCTTCAGCTCTTCTTCCAACTTGTGTGGATCTGCTACCTGCATAATGCTCATGTCGTTTAAGTCTCCACTGATGCACGGGCTCTATTCACGGAGCTCTGAGCGAGTGCCTGCTCAAGCGGTGTTGAAATGACCCGACTCCTTGAGACGAAAAGCACATCGAAGATCATCCAAGCACAAAGCCCATCTACCACAAGTGCAATCAAAGCTGCAGCAGCAATGGAGGTGATCTCTGGCCCGAGACCTGAGGAAACCAAAATGGAGAAAAAAAACAAGCACACTTAAAGGTAGCCCTTAGTAGGCTTGAGTGGAGAGCCAACAAGTAGGCTTATGATGGCTTATGATTATGATAGTAAGTAGTAGCTACATGTAGCTATGTACTAGTTACATCTAGTTACTAGGCTTGGACACAGAAGGGCTCAGGCTTCTTCAAGGAAGCTCCTCCCGCCTGAGGGCGGAGGAGAGCTTCCTGCAAGAAGCCCTGTTGGGAAGCTGCTCATAGGATATCCAACAAACCAATACTTGGAAGGCCGGCCCCCCTCGACAATGCTGGAGCAGATGGTTGCGAGACATGTCTCACAAGCCTCCGGCATCAAAAAGTCACTTCCCATGTTTCAACATGAATTTCTTGCAATTGTCCAAGAACCTAAAGGTTGCAACTACAGCCTGGGTGGCTCTGCGGATTGTGGTGTTGCCTTGGATACAAAACAAGCATCCTGCAAAGGCAAGACATGCTTATCCACGTTTGTCAAAGCAAATGCTGACATTGCGGAAATGAATCAAGTGGGCCAAATGAATCTGATACGGTGCCTGTCATTTCAAGGCGACCATCTGGACAAACTCCACTCTGACTATCAAGCTCGCGGCTTCAAGTTGAAGTCTCAAGAGCTGCTTTGGCTGCTCTCAGGTGAGGGCGATTTTGCAACGCTTGATCGTGGAGCTTTTGGCTTTGGCACTGGCACCGGAGCTATTGGCGCCACTGGCGCCTTCTTGGGCTCGCTTCTCTGGAGCGGAGCGGCCAGACTTTTGCGGATCATACTCATGACACTTGGTGGTCCGCTTTGTGCGACCTCCGGATCTACCTCTTTGGCCTTGGCTTTTGGTTTAGATATTGCGAGTGCAGGTTTCGCCTCAGCTTTGGGTTTCGGTGGCACTTTGGCCTTCGAAGCCTTGGGAGGCAAGGCTGCTGTTTCTGGTCTCAATGGTGCTTTGACTGCTACTGTTTTTGCTGCCCCGGCAGCCCTGGCAGTCGTTGGGACAGCTCTGCAAGGCTCAGCACTTTCTTGTGTAACTTGGGTATGCTTTGGTCCTCCACTACCTGAAGAAAGGAGAGCAGCAGAGACCAGCAATCTGGCAGAAGCCTTGGCTGCTTCCTCTGGAGTTGGCCCAATGCCCTTCGTTACTGCAGTGAAGACTGGATCAGAATTTGACTCGATGAGTTCTGATAGCTTCCCTTTACAAAGATTTACGCAGATTTCTGCTGACTGCCTTACCATCTGCTCCACAAGTGGCTGCAACTGCAGCCGTAGCTCCTCTTGAACAGATGCTGCCAGCTGCTGCATAACTTCTTCCATTTGGCTCATTGCGTCAAGATATTCCTGAGCCTGAAAATAAACTGTAGACAATTAATAAGCTGGTCTATTCAAAACCCATCTATGACACAGTGCTACACCTTAATTACTGTACCTGTTGTTCAGCCAAACATGTGGCCTGACCTCTGTTCAAGAACCATGCCCTACTCTCAATCGCTCAAGCCAAACTTGCTGTCCAGCGAAGCAGTGGTCTTGTCCGCACTCCATAACAGACGCGCACAAAAAATCAAAGAGATGCACTGATAATGATGTGCATGACAAGTCACCAAGAGCCGGCGTGCTGCTTCTGGTGCAGTCGGTCCCCTGCGATTGGAAAAACACCCAAAAGGTGCTGCTTTTCAAAGCCGGCTCTATCCCTCCACTCTCAAGGTGGCATATGTCAAGCCTTTGGAGCTGTGGTGAAGGTTCCGGGGCTGCTACCTAAAGAGAGAGTGTTAGCCAACACCAACCTTGCAATCCCAAAATGCTGAGAGAATCACCAAGTGTGACTCATCTTCTGGGATCGCCTTATGCGACGAACATGTGTGAACTGAATTGAAATGAAAGGTTGATTCGCAATGAAATCAAGGTGATGAGCTTGGCACATCGGATATGGGAGTGATTGGAACGGAGGAATGCACGTTTGGATCCTCCAATGGGCCACACAGTAAGCAAGTGAAGCAAGCTAAGCTTCTTTTCGGAGTTCACAAAAGACTTAGTTAAGACTTAGTTTGTCGGAATAATGAGTTCACTGTCCAGCAAGTATGAGTAAAGGAATGACGCCAAAGTCTGCAAGGGTGGCCGTCTCCACCTTGTTGTAAAAGCATGTCCCAAAAGAGGCAAGTGAAGAGCATGCACGCAAGGCAAGTTTGTAAGGAAAGGGCTGCATCAACTTCAATTCCTGCACCAAACCAATGCAATGAGACACTTGCCCAAAGAATTTAAAATTTGTATTGTCGCTGTTTGTCCTGTATCATCGCAGCTTGTCGCAATTCTTCCACGAGGGCTGGAACCTGATCGCACATGCAGCATGCATAAATTCGCAACTTCCTGGGGCTCCGCTTTGGTATGCAGCAAGGACGCTACTAGGGGCTCCTGGCATCGCTACTAGGAGCAAGGACGCTACTAGGGGCTCCTGGCACAGCAATTCTGCAACGAATCTGAGCGGCCAGGCCCCATTGACTTCACAATATTGTGGGTAGAATTCCTGACGTCTTTGAGCACAGCAGGGTTGACATACAGGGCGTTTTGCTCACGTTTGTTCCACACTGAAAAAGAACAGAGTCACCGCCACTACTGACACTTGCAGGAAACTGCTACAGAACTATTCGAAAGCCATGGCTCTTGGACTTTGCCCGGTACTGAAAATCAGAAAGAACATGGAAGAACACCTTCCGAATTGAACCTCTAGAAATACCCTTTTACTTCGTTCAAAACTGAAACATAGATTCTCTTGAGTTCATCTGGCTGCATGGGAGCTTCCGATCATGCTTTGTGCTCGTCAAAGACTTACCATCACCAATCATGAAGTGATGACCTTATCGATGTAAAACGTATACCGTATACCTTGATGCAGCTCTGATCAGCTGCCTCTGCAGCCGACTCAAGACTTACACTGGTGTGCTCTTCCAAGAACTTCACATAGGACCTTGGCTTTCTGCATTACTTTGCTTTGCCAGTGGATATGATACTTTCAGCAATTCTCAGACTGCAACTCAAAGGTTCTCTCGCGAGAGTTGCATGCAAGTGGTTTGCCCTTTTTCCCTGCAAGGAACAGCCTTGGCCAGGACCACGGCGCAAGTTGCAAAACGCATACTTCACATGTCAAATCATGTCATATCGCATGTCATTAGTATGGGCATGTATGGGAGTAGAGCTTCAGAGGTCACAGCAGTCTTTTTCCTCCTTTAAATCTCGATGCGGAGGTTCAATGTGCATCTACTCGATTTGCAATCTACCGCACTGCCCAGAATTGCTAACAATGGCTACAAAGAACTTGGTTCGCCAAGACATCATCTACGTGTCGTGGGGCACCACAAGCGTTTACGCTTGTCGAGGTCAGCATCAAGGCCTGAAACTTGTGCCTTTGGCACAAGGCGCTTCCCTGCTCATGCCTCGCAGTGCCACATACCTTCTGGAAATATATATCCAGTGGCTTGGCCACGAGAAGGTTATTGGCCAACAGGTCTTGCATAGCTCAAAAATTGTGAAGTCGTCTGACTTGTGCGGAATGGCATGTGTCTACGATTGTCTGAGGCACAAGGTGAGCTAGAAGTCTGTACCTTTGGTACAGCTGTCTGGCTTCTCTGCCCTTGCGTCATGCCTACTCTTTGTCAAGACTACCCTCAAGTGGCTTGGCCACAAATTCAGCTGCACACATCCCACTGACATTCATTGCTGCAAACGTTCAACCAAATGTCCAACGGCAAAGCTATGATTGACAAAGGAAATTTAAAGCATTGCTCGGAACTGGAAGCACTTCACCAAATTTGATTCCTCTCAGGTTTCCTCCGAGAAAGTCCGGTAGTGAAGCTACATCCAAACCGGTGTGCTTTTTCAAGCCATCATGGAAGTTTCCGTTCAGGATGCAAATCTTCTGCTGCAGCATATTTGGCAAAAAAGGTTTCACCAACTTGTAAAAGGTTGCAAGAAAAGCCGGTGCACGAATCACTGTCACTGTAGCCGCAACTTCAGGGTAGTAGGACTTTCCTAGAGCAATGATCCTCTTCAATATAGGAATGTAGCGAACGTTTTCAAAACCAAAGCCATCGCAATCTATGATGAGACGAGCTCGGACCAGCTTGCCACTCTTCAAAGATGCTGTCCGCGACGCTTGCAAGGCATCCTTAGCTTCAAGAAATGAAACGTATCACAGCAGGAAACCAGTTTAAGACTATTCTAACATGTGCATTTAGATTCATACTACGTATTAAAACTAATATGATGCAGTATATATTAAGTAAATTGACATGATGTATCATGATGTGAATGTTCGAGATACTATGCGGCCTGGAGGCTTCGAGATGCACCACAAAGGCCTTGATCATGATCTCCACCAAATCTTCACGCACAATTCCTTGATAATCAGCGTGACCAGCTCGCCAAACCAAGATGGGTTCAGGCACATGCTGGTTGGGCAGGCGAGTGAAAAACGCATGTCGATAGGCCAGCTCTGCTTCAAGAGTGTTTGGATGTGGACTCCATGTCCAATCACTGGTTGAGCGGGAACCATCCTCGTGATATTGCCCAGGGGTTCCAAAGGCATCCATCAGATCACCAATCGATGCTTGATCGAATGGTTCTGATCGCCAAGCCAGAGTGGTGCGGTACATCTCTGCGGCGGCATCGACATTTCGGTTGCGGGCCCTGCAGGGTCTCAACGTGGTGTGTGGTTGGGCAAGAATTCCGAACTTTTCTAAACCTATTTCAATGATTTTCCATGTCACATAATTCCATACAATTCCATGATATTTGCTGCAAACAGGTACCACAGCTGAGGATCATGACAAAGAGCAAACCTCTAGTTAGTGAAACAATTTCGATGGGAGGATGTGGGTGAAAGAAGCAAACCATGATCTGAGGTTATATCTGAGCATAAGTGAGCCATTATGAGGACATAGCATATCCTGGGCCATTCAAGTTTCACCCACCCATCCTGTAGAATCTGAGGAGTGTCAGCGGATCTGCAAGTGGCTCCATGCCACTTGTGCCTACTGCACTGCGCAAAGCTTCAATGGCTTGTGCTTCCTCAGGTGGAACTCCACTCAGCAATCCTTAAATTTTGTCGAGGCAAAACATCACAGCTTGCATCTGCTTCCCGAGAGAGGCATCTTTGACTGGAGCTGTGGCACTCACCACAATAAGGTTTGATTCTGTTAGGCACTAAAACAAGTCAAGAAGTTGCAGCTGTTTGAGCCGTTTTTCCTAAAACGAGAACCCTCATTTCAAGAGATATGCCTGCAACATCAGTGTCCTACATTGCATGGTAACTTTTGAGTCACTGACTTAACAGTTAATGGGCTCGCTCCGCGGGCGACGGAGCATGCGGGCTTCATGTTAAAACTTGACGCAATCCCTGATCACACCTTGATGACATGTCATGACAGTGCATGAGCGCCAGTTACATCCCTTTGACAATCGTTCCACCCAAACGTCCAGTCCAAAGCCTTTGTTTGTCCTCCAGGCTGATAGACTCCGCCGTGGAATACGATTTAGCCATGCATACAAGAGCTTGATTTCGATGTAGTCGAGGGATGTCGAGGGAGGGAAATTGTTCTGATTCAATGCTCATGAGACCTGTATGTAAACGATTCATTTATGCCGAGGGTTCATCATGGTATTCCGTCATACTTTGAAGTATTGCTATCTTATGTTATATATCGTTGCATAATGCTATATAATGTCAATTAATGTTCAATGATGTTCAATGCATCTCCTGCTTTAGGAACATGGAAGAACTGCAATTGCCGCCCTTTATTGTTCACTCACCCTTTCAAGCAACCCAATGAACTGATTTCTGAACCAAGTCCAACCAATCACCAGCTCAGCCAAATGATTCGTCAGGAGTCCGTTCAGAACAGGCCTTAATTACTTGGCAAAGCTTGGTGCTGCAAAGAGAAGTTGATAATGTTGATAGAAGTTGCATTGCTCTCATGGAAAGACTGACTTGCTTCATTCGGTTGGAGGAACTCAAAAATCCCTAAAACTGGCCAAAGTCGATTGGACTTGGCAGCCTTAGCATATTCTGCCTGGTATCCCTCCGTTGAATGTTCTCGGCCGCGGCGAAGTGCGGTGATTCGTGTAAAGAATGAGCAGCTGTCCTCAGGCATGCGCCAGAACAATCAGGTCACTGGCGCAAGAAACGAAGATGTCGTGTGTCTTTGTATGCCAGGGCACTGTGATGTAAGCCGCCCAGGTGATCACGAGCAAGGATGCATATCGACGTCGCCCCATTAGGAATACCCTCTACGCAAACCTCCGACCAACTCAAACGATGTGGTGATGAGTGTGTGGTGAGCGTGGATTGCGGTGATTGAGTATTGTTGTGAGACTGTGCGTGTGTTCCTGTGTGTGTGCACATCTTTGGAATCATAGGTCATTTTGAAACTATCAGAATTTACTCAGGCAATTTGTTCAGTCAGGCCTATTGGGCCTATTCCATGTACATTCAATCTTGAGTGAGCATGATGTGTTAGTAGAATGATTTTGCATGTGGCACTGAAAGCAAGTGGGCTGGCACTATGGACCGATGGAGGCTGACAGGAGGGGCAAACTGGTGTGAACTATCCGGCCATGCAGGTTTTGAGCCATCAAGCAGACCATGGACAGCAACAGCTGCACAGTCCGAAACTGGCATGGAACAGGTGATTCAAGGCTGCGGTTGGAAGCCAAGCCCAGAACTTGACATTTGGGATGAAGGACTCTGGGAAAAAGCGACTGGGCCTGAGTGTCATCACTACATAGACCGGGAGCACGAGAGCAACTGCGGCATACGGAAGGGCCATCACGCATCATTCTCGTCCGAGTCCATCATCGCAATTCGGATTTTGCTTGATCCCTACCAGCACCAAGCGTGGGATACGGAGGAGACTCAGTCTGGAGACAGTCTCTCTGTCTCTGAACAACAATCAGCGTTCTACTCAAGTTTCTCCTTCAGCATCTTGGCAAGCTTTCTCCAGTGTGGTTTAACTTCTTGACCTCGGAGAAAGGTTGCTTTCAAGCTGCTTCGCCAAACAAAGCACTGATCTCGGAGCTTGCTATGTGCCTGGCATGCCTCGCACCAAGGCGCATATAAGAGCACAAAGACGTGCCTTGATCTGCATCCACTTGCATGTTGCAGCTCACGCGAAGTGCTTGGCTACGCCAGTTACACACGCGGCTTTCTGAAAATTTGCTTGCGTGAGCTAGTCGAGTTCGGAGTTCACGTGTTGGTTGTGTGCCAGCATGGATCTGACACAACTTGCTGACATGTCAACTAGGTTCTGGATATTGCTATAGTTGTATATATACTATAGTGGAGCCGGCACTGCGAAGTTGAGCAAGCGACTCTTTTGATTCCAGGACCAAGTCTTTGAAGGAATCAGCAACCAGCACCTCGCAGCAACTGTGCAAGCAGGAACTCTTGCTACTCTGTTTCTCCTACTTTTTCCCTGAAAGCAATAAAGAATCTCCACGTATCAAAATGATCAAAGCAAAGCATTCACTTCACTGGACTTACTGTAATTCATAGACCCAGCACACATATTCATAAATCCCACTAGGTGGCAAGCTGTGAGTCCATCATGTCGCGGATCCGCGTCATTCGGAGGCCTCACAGCCGTTTTGCGTTTAACATCGTTTAACATCAAAATGGTCTGACAGCTTGCCACAAAGAGTGTTCACTTCGCCTAGATGCACTTTTTTGCCTGGCTGTATGACCTGAGCAAGTCATTCACACGTCTGTCTCCTTGAAGGATCTGTGCAGAGTTTGGTATGTTCTCCAACACGCAAATGATGGAAAAAAAGCGAAGCACGGCTTCTTCAACTACTTCTGCCAACACTATGTGGCAACCTGGTACCTTTCAATGCAATGTCCATGTGTTTTGTGAGTCTCTTGGCCAGGCGCAACTCCAGCAGATTCGAACATCCGCGGCACTTCTGGAGCCACAGGTCCGGCAACCCCAGACCTTGACAGACCAAATGGACCGAAAAAAAGAAAGAAACGGTTACAGGTTAGAGTATGTATATGTTAAAGTGATACAACACATTCGTACCACCGGTAATTGAAGAGGGCGGGGGACTGTGAGAGTGCACTTTTTTTGACTTCATTTGTTGCTCAACTCTTCACTGACTGGACTGTAAAAATGCTTTTGTTTTGACTCAAGGACAGCTCATGGAAGATTCTATTGTTATTCCAATGTAATGAAACCTTATTGCGAATTTGGTTTTATGTGTCTCCAATTTAATTGTAACCAATGCTTAATGTAGTGTCAATTTAATTCTCATACAGTTCATAATTAACTGCTAGACAATTCTAATTTAGTTCTATTCTAATTCAATGTATATAGTGTTGATCTATTCCTGATGTAATTCTAATTTGCTTGTAAGTGAATTCTACCCTTATTACAATTCAATTCTATTTATGATCAAAAAGCCTCATATTGAAGCTATCACATCCTTTCTAGAATTAAAGTTGCATTTTCTAAGGACTAACTTAGAACTAAATCAGTTTTATACTTAAATTTGCCTTGAGTTTCAATAAAAACAGGAATTGAATGTGAATTCAATGTGAATTGAACTAGACACAAAGCAGAATTAAATATCAATTGAAAAAACAAGCAAGTCTGAATTGTCTAAGGATTAGATTGGAATTAATCTAAAAACACATTACAAATGCATTGAAACAAACGTAGCATTAACATTGAATTAAATAAGAATTAAATGTCAATTGTACAGGCATCAGTCGAGAATGAAATTCAATGTGAATTAGAATTAAATTAGAACATGCATAGTTTAATCAAATAGAGTTATACATACTAAAATTGAATTCAAGCTAACATATTTCAGAGTTGAATTAAAATTGACATTTAATTCAGATTAAGTTATACTTCAATGGAGAAAAACAAAAATTAGAATTCAAATAGACTCAAATTAAAATTACATTCGAATATAATTAGATTCAAGTTGGACTTTATAACCTAACTTAGAATTCAATTTAGAATTAAACTAGGGATTACAGTAAGTAGTTAGAATCTATTTATTTTATGAAATTATAGTTAATTTTGGTTTAACTTAAAAAGGTTTGTAAACAATTTTTACATAAATTAGAATTGAATGATCTGAACTTGAATTAATTAGAAATAATTGAGTATGAGATATGAAACACATTGGAATTAAATGCTAATTGACATAGAATTATATAGATTAGAACTAATTCAATATTAAAGTAGATTTAAGCTAAAGTTGAATTAATTCTAGAATTTAATTAGAACTCCATTCTAAAAATGAATTAGAATGGAACCATGCCCAAGCCTCTCAATTTGGGGACAAGAAGGCTGGAACCGATTGCCGGAGTCATCAAGTAGAATGCTATGAATAAAAACCTCGACAAAAAAAAACACACATTCTCCGGGACTCTTTTGCAGAGAAGGTGAGGCATGGCAAAGACCTCCTGAGATGATTTTGTTGCTTTTTTTTGCTGTTGATTGTGTTTGTTTTCTCAAGGTTTTGGCTGTTTTGTTGTCTCAAGGTCTTGGCTGTTTTTTGGTTTTCTCGTTGCAAATGACATTGAGGCAGCTTTCAGATGCACATAGCACGAAGGCAAACAACAGTGGAAAGCTTATATTGCACATAAACAAAGAAGATTCAGGCAGATTTCCTTAATGCAGACACCAAGAAATACTGCCCTCTCACAGTCCCCTATTTTTGTAATTAAACTGGTCTGTAGTGTCTTCTTTTTGCTTTAAAGCATAGTCACTCTGAGCAAAGTTGAGGACAGTACACCTTTGGGAAGCTGCTGGCCCCAGGCCTGTACCAAAATGAAACCAAGTTCTCAGATTGGGCCATGCATGTCATGCATTGCCATGCCAAAATAAAAATGCCTCTGCTATGTTCAAGAACTTCCTAAGTGGCGGTGCCATTCGGGCTGGGCTTGTGCAAAAGCCTTCAAACATCTTCTGAGGTTACTGAGGTTCCAGCGACTCCATTCGCATTTGTCTCAAATGGCCGCCAAGCCTCCACTCCCTTTCCGCAATCTTTCCAGCCTCAAACACAACCATTCAAAACATAAGCCAAATCCAACAATGGCAATCTATCACTACACGATCAACAAAATATCATTCCCCCCAATGCTGTTCTATCGACTCCAAGTCACATTAGCAACACACATGCAGCACATAGAATACAACACCGATCTCAACTGTCAGGAAACGCAGGAACATGAATGAAAGTTAAAGCTTGGATGTTGACATGATCACTTGCTCGTCTGATCAACGTTAAACATGTGGACCAAAAATCATCGATGCTACAAAGTACCGACGTGGCTGATGACCCTGCCAGACTCAGCATCGCACCCTGCGGCGTCCAAAAAGAACAAGGCCCTCGACAGCATCAATGCCTAAGCCACAGCCCGCAAATAGCTTTGCTGTTGAAGAGGATCACATGATCTCACATGAATTTATACAAATAATATATATGTGTTCACTGAACAACTCTTCAGCTCAAATTCCTTTTTCCTTTTGGCCGTTCGACGCATTCTTCAGAAGAGGTGCTGAAAAGCCCTTCCGGCGCGAAGAGGTTTGGATCTCGAGCCTCAACTGGGCTTCTCTGCACATGCGACGTCAAATGCACTGGTTTACCCAACTAGTCATGGCCTTGTAGAATTTCACAGGTCAGGGTTTATAGTCAAAAGTTATGTTTGAAAACTAGTTATAAGTTTGTTGAAAAGGCGCCAAAAAAAGGAACCATAACGTATGATATGTTTTTCAAACAAATGCATAGCCAAAAACTATCAAAAACCTTTCAAAATCAAAGGTGTTTGCTAGTTTGGGGCTCTGTAAATCTAGGTGTTTCACAAAAACACATAGATCAAAACTAGCAAAAACAATTGATTTTGTAGCCTTTTTGTTACATTTAGGCTATGCATCTTTTTGAAAAAAAAAAACATAAGTTTTGGTTCTTTTTTTGGAACTACAACTCTTTTTGGAATCATAACGTTTTTGTTTGGAATATGTTTGAATCATGACTTTTTGGTAGCCAGTGCAGCCAGTTATAGTTATTTTTTTGGAACTATAACTTTGTTGGGAATCATAACTTTTTGGTAGCCAGTGCTGCCAGTTATGGTTCTTTTTTTGAACTATAACACTGTTTTGGAATCAAAACTTTTAGGTGGGCTGTGTCACCAGCTATGATTCTTTTTTGGGGAAACTATAACAGTTTAAGAATCATAACTTTTGGGTGGGCACTGTGCGCAGTTATGATTCCTTTGTGTGGAAAGCAAGGGCGATTGACAGAATCTTGACTAGACATAAACTCTGGATGTTCGTCAGATTCACACACTTGATGTTTGGATAGTGGTTGGCTCGGCGCGGTTGGCATCACTTTTTATGTTGAAACATGTGTGTGTGTGTGTTTGTTTGTGTGTCTTTGTGGTTTTCTTAAAACTTAAACCCGTCGCATACATTCTTAATTTTGGCCTACTTGTCAAACTGAGATTGGCCGTTAATAAAGTGGAGCCATATGGAATCTCTGGAAGCACCATGCACCCTGCGACATAAAACCAAGACACGAGGATTGCACTGAAGCAGGAATTGGGATTGATTATGGTTGTTGTTTTAAGTTCAACCATCTTGAAAGTTATGATTCTTTTTTGAACTGAACCGCCTTGACTTGCGAAATTTGACAAATGGCCTCTAACCTACAGCAATGGCCTCCAACCTAAAAGCGATGGCCTCCAACCTACTAGCTATGGTCATGGTTGCACAGTATCATACAAACACTTTCGGAAGCAGAAAGGACTGAAAGGTTTTAAAGCCATTCCAAGCCCGGAGCCACCAAATGTTGCTCACCATCCAAAATGATCTGCATTTCCTTGATGAGTATTACAGAACAATGTAATACACATAGTCACATAGCCTAATAGTTGCTTCCAAAGGCTGACATGCGAGTTCTGACCAAACTCATGTCAAGGGTGCCCATGGGGGCGCACCTGCCGCTTCTCCAGATCAACACAAATGGTTGCCACGTGCCAAGTGGATGGTTGGACCTAACAAATGAGAAACGTAGCAATCACAAACCTGGCAAATGTATGCAAATGTGATAATGCAACAAACGGGAGCAAGCAGTTGCAACTTTCGTTTTGGGTGTAGCAAGCACTAGCGGCAAGCTCTCGTCTCCAATTCTGCGTCTCTGGGAAAGTTGCCACATTGCCACAGGTGTTGGAGAATCGATCGTCCTGGCAGCTCGAGCTGTAAGTTGCTCCCTGCTTCATGAGAATGCCATCCCCCCCGCTCTGTCTATCTCTCTCTCTCTCTCTTTCTCTCGCCTCCTCTGCATTGGAGTCAGAGTCAGAGTCTGACTCCTCACCTGCGAATTTATTTACACACCGATATCAAATATCATTATCGAATCATCGACTCAACAAACATTGACAATCTACTGGACTGTAATTCATACATTAACCATCATTAACCAAACCTATATATAAGCCTACAACCACTGATGGGCAACACCTACCCAATAGAAAATGAAAGAACCAGCCTCCCATCCATTTTTGTGGGGGCTCAAGACGTACTCCTGCATGGGAAGAGTAATCAAAAAGTGAATTGTCCAAAGCAGGGCTTGACGGCTTGAAGCAAAAGTGGCCCCTTGCTTCTGGGTTCTGGGCCAAACTAAGCCACTGGCGTGTTCCACTCCAGCCTGTCACAGCCAAACGAACTTCTTCATCGTAGGGCAGCTCCAACGTCTTCACCTCTCAGGCATGGTGAAGCAGTATGTCTCAGCATGATCACCAAGTAATGGTGATGGATTCTTTCTGCACAAAAGTCCTAACCTCCTGCAAGCTGTCTTTCTTGCTGCCAACGTGGAAGGATGCCTTCACAGAATTGCAAAACTACAGTGGCTTCAACATTGTGTGACTCAGTACTTTCTCAAACACAGTACCTGGCTCAGCAAAAAAAACTAAGCTCAGAAGTGACACCTTCTTCCGATCCACATCACAAATGATCTCTACAAACTTCAGGTACATAGGCCAGGTTGGCCTCAACCGCTCCCATTCTGAAAATGCAAACCAGGAGCCCCTGGTAGCATCCTTGCTCCTAGTAGCGATGCCCTTTGTTCCTAGTAGCGTCCTAAATTCGGAATGAAATAGCATCTCAAACTAGGAGTGCTCATGTCAGACTGAAGGCTCCACTTTTGCTCCCCTCCACCGTCTCCACCGCTAACGCTCTCAGACTTGAGACCACACCTAAGAGTGGCTAAACCGTTCTTTGGAAGAGAAAACTGTATGTAAGGCCCTGGAAGTCTGAAGGATGCCTTATCATCCCTTTTCGTCTCTTTGTTTACTCATATTCTTCTCGTCTCTTCACCCTCTCTTCTGTCTGGCAGTCTGTGACAGTCACACCCCGAAGCTGCATATATTGCATCAGCGCAAACTTGAGTCAGGTGTAAAACATGATAGGCGTTGTACTGTCCTGTATTGAAGAGGTAGCCAGGCTCCTGCGTGTTGGCAACGTCATATCATTCCAAAACCTTGTCCTTCTTTACTAATTTAATTTCAGCCACTCTGCGTTTTCTGCATCATCTCGACGTCCTCAACTTCGCTGACTGGGACAACCCCCACTTCAACAGCATCGTTGCCCTGAAAAATGAGACCCAAATAGAATCTCGTAGAATCACCAGTGAACTCTTGGGGTGAACTATGGAATCAATTGAAACAGTGGATATGAAACAGCAATCAAGCGATGCATAAGCAATTAAGCTGCCTCCTCAATCTTCAGTAACCAGCGAATGATGCCATTGCCTTGCGGTGGCATATTGCTCACAGGTCTGCTGCAGCCTTTTTTTTCACGCGGTTCTAGGGTCTTTGCTGGCAGCTTCTGCGCTCACCAAAAGGTCCGGCCTAAATTGGCAGTCGACAACGAACACTCTGGGTTTTAATTGGTGAGCACCACAAAGTCAACTTGATCTCTGCACTAGCAGAAGTCTCTGAATCTCAGTTGTGGACCCCCCTTGTGCAACTGCCAAGTCGTTACCTGCAACTCGGAGCTCAGCCCACCAAGACTACCGCCAGAATAAATCAATGTAAACTACAGGCTGTGTCGAAGGGCTTTCAGCAATACCATACCCTCATACTTTCAGCAGTATGACAGTATGATCTCGAGCATACCTCCTGGGCCCTGAACCTGTAAACTGCCAGTTGCGGGTCTCGCAAAACCTTCAGTCAAGAATCAACATGTCCTAGTGCCTCTTGTATCAACAGAAACCAAGCGTTGACTAATGCTGCACTGAACTTTGAGCAAGAAATTTTCTCTATGTGGCATAGGTCCAAACCCTATTCATGCGCTGCCATAAATTTCCATGGTTGCGCACCTCTTGTGGATGAATTCAGTCAGCTAAGTGAAAATGGGCAAGCAGCAGCTCAGATCTGCGCTTCAGATGTCAAGCTCTTCTCGATCTTCAGGGAACAGGAGCCATGTAGCTTGGATGATCAAAGTTGAATATAGAGTCACCACAAAGCACCTATGCTTATCTTTTCAACATGAAGCTTCTTCGACCCAGCTTTGGACCACCAATCGTGTCTGAAGAAGCCGTATCATGCATGCCGTATCTAAGCTATTTTATAGATTTTTATTATAGTGATGCTTTGTCCCAGTCCACATTACATATCATTATATAATATGTGTAAGTTGAACGCTGTTCACCTCAGGAGACTTAGGTTTCACAGCTCACTTGACTGTGACATAACCACCTCAAGGCGGGTGGGCACTGCCCTGAAAAGGGCTACGCGGCGCGGCGCCTTCGAGCGTTGCGGTTCGTTCGTCTTTGGTTGACTTCGTGTGCAACTACATCTTCGCATTGGTAGCGGAGCTACGGCTCCAGCGACCTACGCTTTCACTTGCTAGAGGTCCTGCCTAAGCCCTACGTCACCCACACTTAGCCGAGCACGAGATTGACCTCGCTTTGTTGCTCATTGGTTGGGTGCTACTTCCATGCCACCACCGACGCAGGCTGCAGAATCACAAGCTGCGGAATTCCAGAATCTGCGCGGCTCCTATGTCCCCCTCTTCAATGGCCAGCCTGCAGAGTACAAAGAGTAACGCAAAAGGCTCAGTCTCTACCATAACAAGATGCTTTTGAGCAAAAGAGGAGGGGAGGCCGTGCTGAACATCATCGGGTCATTCACCGGAGTTGTCTGGCGCCACTTCGAGGACTTCCCGGTTGAGGATTGCGAGAAGGAAGATGCCTTCAGCAAGGTCCTGGCTCGCTTGGACCGCAACTTTGAGTATGACGATCGCGTCCTCTTCGAGAACTACTTCACCAACCTCCAGCGGAAGGGTCAGCAGAGCTTGTTGTCCTTCGTGACCGACCACGATGAGGCCTACCGTAAGATCACCGGCCACAAGATCACCTTGCCCAGCCAAGTCCAGGGTTGACATTTGCTCAAACGAGCCGGCCTGACAAGAGAGTAACGCCAAATGGTGACTCTGAAGGCTCCAACCCTCGAGAAGGCCAATGTGATTGAAGCTCTCTTCCTCCTTTATGGCCAAGACTACAAGGCTGGCGGATGGTCCCCTGATCGTCGACCTCAAGCTCGATGGAAAGGCCGAGGCTATGCTGCCTTCGACGAAGAGCCCTTGGATCCTACATGGGACGAGGCCTATACTATGAAGATGAATGGTATGAGGCTGAGGAGCCCTATGTTCCCGACTATGAGGACACAGCCTTCGACGACGAAGCCATCTACTGTGGAGGTGAAGATGAGTTCAATGAAGACTATGATGGCTATGAAGAAGATGCTGCAACCATGGCTGAGGCCTACGACTCAGCATATGCCACCTACATGGATGCTCGGCAACGCTTCCAGCAATTGAAGCTTGCTCGTGGCTACCTGCCCGTGGTCGCCCTCACTGATGGCCAAACAGCTGCCTCATCTTCCTCAACGACACCCACAGGCCGAGGAAAAGGTCTTGACAAAGGCCGTGCAAAAGGAAAGGGCAAGTCCAAAGGCAAAGGAAAAGGCTCCAACACCATTCGCTATCCTCCATCCTCAGGAGGCAAAGCCGATCCAAAAGGAAGGGCAAAGGCTGCGACGCGACTGCTTCTATGACCTGTCTACGTTGTGGGCAATTGCGTCACTGGGCCGCCTCATGTCCACAGAATGCCAAAGGAAGTTCATCTCCCAGCAACAAGCGTCCAGCTCCAAGCACCATCACGACTGAAGGTATGGCTGTCACGTCGGAGACCGCCTTGGTGCTCTTTCAAGACGAGCGTGGGCAAGATCATCCCGAGGCAACGATGCTGGATCCTGGCGCTTCCGCTTTCCTGAGTGGTTACGGCCCTTTCAAGCGCTACGTGGAGCATCTGAGCGAGCTTGGATATCCTGTGAACACCATCAGGTTCGCTCGCTGTGAGAGAAACTTCCAGTTCGGTGGAGATGCCTCCTCCTTGGCTCGCAGGACTGTTGACCTTCCGGGCAACACTCCTATGTTGATGGGACGCCCAGTCATTTGAGGCGCTCCACATGGGGATCGACTTCAGTGGAAAGCAAGTTCGATTTGGTGCATCCAGTTCTCCGAGGCAAACATGGTGAATACTTGCTGTCGCTCACCACGGGAATGGAACCTGTGCCAGATCCCACCAAGGCCGCCTTCGCGCTCAACATCGCAGAGGAAGTACCTGGCAGTCATTTGTTCCTGCGTGACTTCAACCAGATGGAGCACATCTTCCTGGCAGGCGACCAGATCTTGGAGGACAATGGATTGGCCTACCAACCCTTGCGACGTCATCAACTCCACACTATGGAAATTGGTCTGGTCACGGCAGCCAATCAAACTGAGGCCTATGTCACCAGAGAGCTACACTGTGAAGCCGTGAAGCCCCCTCTTCCTCGAGAAGCAGCTTGAAGAGATGCCTGATGAGATCCTTCTTGCGCCAACGTGCAAATTATGGTCGAGGATGCAGACGCTGGCTTGCCGCACTGATGCTCAGCGCGAAACTCTCATTGCAAGTCGAGAACACCACCATCGACGGCACTTGCGTTTTTGCAAAAGGATCTATATGAATTCAAGTTGAAGGAGCACGACGTTGTCATCTTGAAAAACCCCGCTTGGCCCTCAGCTCGAAGACCACTGCCTTGCGAACTCTCCCTGGCTATGCAGCTGAATTCGATCAATGTCGATATGGAGCTCAGTGTCTTGATGTGGGCGGCACCTGGAAGCCCACACAGAAACCAACTCGCATTCAGACCACCAAGAAGGCTGTCGCTGAAGCAATGCACCTCCTATATGTCAACATGACCATGAGCATTGCCGTCTCGAAGGAAGTGCACCAGGGTTGGGATCCCGAACCACCTACATGGAGGATTACCAGCCCGGCTTTGCAGCGACCCTGGCAGCTGCGATCATGCAACCTGAGCTACCGCATCATTGGGAAGCAGCTCATGCTGTAAGCACAGCCAAGGCTGCCGGACACCTGGTCAAACTTCATGCTGAACATCGCTCTGACGCCCTACGGACTGTGCAGCGACTACATCGAAACCTGGGCCACCCTTCTTCCGAATCTCTAGCCGATCTTCTAGTGGCCAGAGGAGCTGCGTCTACGGTGATTGAGGCTGCTCGAAAGTATCAATGTGTTGCCTGTGCCAAGTACAAGAGGCCCAATGAAGTTGCCCCTGCTTCAATGCCACAAAGTCGCAACTTCAATGACACAATCCAGGCCGATGTCTTCTATCTGAAGGTCAACGACCGCAAATGGGCTGTGTTGAGCTTGGTTGATGTGGCCACACGCTTCATGGCCGCCTACTTGCTGGACGATGAGACCTCTGACTCCTATGTCATGGCCCTGGAGAAAATGTGGCTTCGTCACTTTGGGCCACCTAAGATTCTGGTGACTGATGAAGGAAGGTCTTGGCTCGGAGCATCTATGGAAGCCTGGACCACGTCATGGGGCATAGATCATCAAGTAGCTCCGGGCGAAGCTCATGAGCGACTCGCATTGGTCGAGCGCCGGCATGCTGTGCTTCGCAAAGCCATCGAGGTGTATCTCAACGATCGCAAGCTCAGCAACAATAAGGGCATCAGAGAATCAGAAGCCATCACTCACATCATACCCCAACAGAATGGAACTCTGTCGGTTGCAGGGCTCTCACCTTCGCAATGGGCCTTGGGCTACCAGCCAGAGCTCTCCCATCTCCTGGACACCAACTTGAATCCAGCTCAAATGACTGGCACCAACAAGACCTTCGAGGCAAACCTCGAGAAACAGACTGCTGCCAAGATCGCCCTGACCACAGCAGACGCTGACAGCAAGTTGCGGCGAGCTCTAGGACGTCGCTATCAAGGGCAAAACAAAGAGTTTATGTTGGGAGAGCGGGTTTGGTTCTGGAGAGATGCTCGTCAAGGACTTCTCAACAAGATCCGCTGGCTTGGTCCTGCACATGTGGTCATGCGCGAGGAACACATTCCTCATGGTTCTGACAAGCCACAAGTCAAGACCTACTGGCTCGCCTACAAGACGCAAGTGATTCGCGCAGCACCACATCACGTGAGAAGTGATATCCTTGGCCCTGGGCACGTGATTGACGACCTCCAGAAGTCCCTCAACATGGTGAGACAACCCAAGTCGAGAGGTGTGACCAGATGGTACGACCTCAGTCGAGTCAATCGACATCGTCTTGAAGACGTTGATGATGATGAACAGATTGACGATCACAATGGCTCGCTGGATGAGGAAACAGCCCCACCACCTGCTCGACGCCTACGACTACATCCTCCGGAGCATGATGAAGAGCCACCCGTTGTCGATGCAGAAGAATACTCACCGACCTCGCCAGCACACTCTGGCTATGCTCCCACGTCTCCGACAGGATTGATGGCACAACCATTGATTGAACAAGGTGAAACAGAGTCACCACAGCCAGTCACAATGACCACATCGGCCGCACACATACCAGCGCCACTGTCATTGCCCGCGTCACCTGGTTCCAGGCGATCGAGATCTGAGCCCGGCGCCGAACCGACCGTGCCGACACCTCATGCACCACAAGACACACCCAGTTTGGACCCAGCTACTGCGGCATTGTATGAACCAGTCGATGCCGAGTCCTTTCAGGAGAGACGCAATCGCTTCAATCGGCAGGAGACCTTGAGCTTTGGTCCATGGCGACATCGCCCTCACTGAACTGCAGAACCCTATGAACCACCAGCATCCGTACCTGCCACAAGCTCTGTTGCACAAGGACCAACGGCCGAATCTGCGGAGGACTCAGCGCTTTTGTCTCAGGCATTCATGGTGGAAGAGCTTTCGGCCAACTGCCTACCTCGCGGTTGGACCTATGAAGTTGAAGATGGCTACTTCCAGTTGGAGAAGCACCCGATGGACTATTGGGAAGTTCGCGCTGGCTGCATGATTCGCCACCACATCACACCACGGAGACAGAAGATGAGTCTTGCCCATATACCTCGTGATGCACCGTTTCCTGCTTTTTTAGAGGTGGAGAATGTGCGTGTGACTGTAATCCATGACACCAACGGCCGCTGCACGCAGCAAACAGATGATGGCACGTGCACAACACCCTGCGATTCTTCCTGGACGGGCGTTACCGTGTTCCAGATCAAGGGTCATGTGAGAAAGGCGTATGCCATGTAATTATGTCAAGGAGCCGCTGGTTGGTGCTCGCCAAATGGGCAAGATCACCAAACAATGACACGCCAAAGCCTTCAAGAAAGACAAGAACAACCTCACGGAGCGCACTATGACTCCAGCAGAGAGAGCCCAGTTCAAGGCTGCAAAGGTGAAGGAACTGCAATCGTTCTTTGACAACCAGGTCTGGACGTTCGAGGCCACGAAGGAAGCTGAGCCGACAAGGACTTTGACAAGCCGCATGTTGCTCAAGTGGTCGAAGAACCCAGATGGGACTCCTCACGCCAAGGCGCGGCTCATCGTCCGTGGCTTCATGGATCCAGATGCCTGGGAAGGTACCGTGCCCACGCCCTCACCGACAACGACTGTCCAGATCCATGCTGCTGAGCCTGGCCGCCAACATGCACTGGCCTGTCTGGACATCGGACATCGCCACCGCCTTCCTTCAGGGGAAGCCTCAAAGTCGGAAACTATGGGCACAACTCCCCGCAGAATGTCTTGATTTGCTGGGCGCCTCAGCTGATACACGTACGCTGCTCCTGAAGCCCTGTTACGGCCAGATTGACGCCCCAAGATCATGGTATATGGCAGCAGTGGACAAGCTCTTGAGCATGGGCCTCCGTCAACACCTGCTGCTTCTTGGCCTATGAGGCTGACCTCGATGCCGAGTACCACCCTGAGCAAGAGCACGCACCCGTGCTCGGACCTTGCGGTCTATGTGGAGTCATCATCATGCACGTTGATGATATGTTGGGGTGTGGCTCTGAGGACTCCAAGTGCTACCACTCCGTCATCTCCAAGCTTAAGGCCACATTCAACTTCAGGGAGTGGAAGACCGGAACAGATGGTTCCGACTTGTCGTATTGTGGTTGTGACATCAAGCTCACCGACTCCGGTGGCTACAAGATCGAACAGGACACCTACATGAAGAAAGTGAAGCCAATCACCATCGACAAGCGTCGTGATCCCGCAGAAGCTGCCTCAGAGAAGGACGTGTCTCAACTCAGGGCTCTTCTGGGCTCCCTACAATGGCCCGCTGTGCAGTCAAGCCCGCATCTACAAGGAAGCACTTCTCTCCTGAGTGGCTGCATCTCGAAGGCATCCACTCAAACGATGATGGACTGCAATCGGCTCCTCAAATTCGCAAAGGAAAATTCAGATGTCGGTTTGGTCTACGACCATCTTGGTCCGGTACAGGAGCTGAGATTGCTATGTTTCTTTGATGCTGCCTTTGCCACAAGGAGTGACTGCAGCTCACAACTTGGCTACATCATTGTCCTCATTCACAGCTCACTCCTACAGCCCGATGGACCAGAAGGAGCTTATCGCATCCTTGACTGGAGAAGCCAGAAGACTCCACGGGTGGCCAGGTCATCCTTGGGCGCTGAAGCCCAAGCTGGTGGACAAGCTTGTGATGCCCTGGAACATGATTGCGTGTTCTGGAGCTGCCTCCTCGATCCACGACAGAAGCTTCAAGACCTCCTCGACTGCAAGTCACCACTTGCACCAATCATGGTGACCGACGCCAAGGCACTCTACGACTCGTTCCATCGCGAAGGCTATGGCAACTCAGTGGTGGACAAGCGAGTGTCATTGGAGGTAAGAGTGATGAAGGAACGGCTGTTGGCTCTTGGAGGAAACCTTCGTTGGATGTCGTCGGAACGACAACTGGCTGATGGCCTCACAAAAGAAGCTGCTCGCGGTTTGTTGGCACAACGCCTTCGCTACGGCAAACTCAAGCTCATCTGGGACCCCACGTACAAGGCCGCCAAGAAGAAAACAAAAGATGAATTGAAGGCCAGCATCCAGGAGAGCACCTTCAGCCCACCAGTGGACGCAGGTGTACCTGATCAAGCAGTTCTCCAGGAGAATGACATGGCTCATGAGGAGTTGCTGAAGTGAGCCAACCCCGTGGAAGAGTATGTGCACATGGCCATCACTGAGGACTCCGTCTCCTACTTCATGGAGGCCTATGAGTGTAACATTCTGTCTGACGAACATGAAGTCTTTGTGAATGACCACGCTGCCGCTCCGAGCCATGTCGAAAGCCGCATGCAGAATGTCGTCGAGCGTCGCTTGCTGAACATCCTGAGGTGGGCGCTGGTTTTGCTGCTGCTGCCTGGAGCCATGGCTCATGCCACCAAGGCTCCGGAGGAACCGGACTATTTCACCGTGACGGTGATCACCATCCTCAGTGTGCTGGCAAGCATGTTCTTTCTACTGGTTACTGGGCCGATGGAGCCGCTTGGAGTTGGCACCTCTTAAAAGGGTGCACTGTGTCGATGCTGCTGCTCAGACCGACGACACGACTGTCTCTGGTCGCCTTTGCGCTGAGATTGAGGAGTGGAAGCTTCGCACTTTGGAAGCTGAAGGCTCTGCCATGGAAAGCCGGAAAGCACTGAAGCTCGCTGTTGCCAACATGGAATATGTTGGCGAGCTGACCTACCGCGCTGGCAACATCCTTCGCCGGTGCTTGAGCGAGATGGACGCTCACAGAATGGAGTGTCCGTTGCACGTGGGCATCTACATCTCAAGACGTGGACGAAAACTCCACAAGAGTCCGCACTGCAGCTCCCTGGAAGGAAGAGACCCCAGAAATGTGGATCAATACGATCCTTGCGCCTTGTGCAGCACTTGCATCCTTCCCCCGGACAGTGTGAATGTGTCCGGGAACTCATCCCTACGGATGGCCATCAATACCTGGCTAGAAGCAGGGAATCTGCACAGCTCAGGTGCATTATGCATTCTCTCCAGCCGAGTCTCCGAACAGCCAAAGTTCTTCTCCCTATGTAAGTTGAACGCTGTTCACCTCACAAGACTTAGGTTTCGCAGCTCACTTGACCGTGACGTAACCACCTCAAGGCGGGTGGGCACTGCCCTGAAAAGGGCTACGCGGCGCGGCGCCTTCGAGCGTTGCGGTTCGTTCGTCTTTGGTTGACTTCGTGTGCAACTACATCTTCGCAATATGTTTTATGTAGCCCACTCATGCCCACAGGAGAATGTTGCCAATTCTTCATTTAGCCGCTCTGGTCAATGAGACGGCCTGTCTTTGCGCGGAGAGATGGACAAAGGACAGCCAGGCTCAGGCAGCAATTCCATTCGAAAAGCAGCTGTGAGAGCAGATATACAGAAAACGGGAGGGGAGGAAAGGAGCAAGGTAAGGTGCAATAGAAACAATTAATAACAAATGCAAGGTTGAATGAGTTGCGAGATGTTGTGAGACGTTGTGAGGTGAGACGTTGAATGATTGCGGTGAGATGATGTGAGATGCAAGGTGAAGCGCGAGGCAGCCGCAGGCAGCCAGTGGTGGGTCAGCAAAGTTGAGAAACAAGAAGCCGTGGATACCTAGTAGCAATGGCCTCCAACTTAGAAGCGATGGCCTCCAACCTAACAGCAGCGGCCTCTAAAACTCTAATTGACTATTTGGAACCATGATGAACCATGTCATCATTAAGTCATCAAGTCATTCATCACAGGCGACCAGCCTGAAGGAATTCGCCGACCATCTGTTCAGACCATCGGGCAAAGTCTTCCAAACCGTATGGTGGCAAAGTCTCTTCCACTTCGGCAGAGGTGTCGATGGGGTCAAGGCGTGGCCACGGGGTTGTTGATCTGCAGCGTGCTAACCACCATGGTGTGACCACTTCAAAATAAACCTCTTGAATTGCTGCTGCAAAGCGTTTTGAAAGCTCTGGGTTTGTCACGAGCTGCTCTCGCAATCGTGGAGGCATCTCAAATTGCACTGCTGGAATTCCGAGCAATACAGATTGGTGAGAGATCGTTGTCACTGTGTCAGCGCCCCAGAATCCATGCAAGGCAGGGTCAGCTTCAACCTTGATTTGCTTTCCCTTCTGGGATAAAACACGGCAGTCAGCCAACGCCTTATCAAGCTTCTTGCAAAAATTGAATTTCAAAGCACGGACAACACTTTGGTCCTGCTCTGGCCACACTTCCTCCAGAGGAGCAGCGCCTAAATCCAGGTGAAGCTTCTCAGACACTTTGCCATGCAGGTCCACATGCAGCAAAGGAATTCCTGCATCTGTTGCCGGTCCTCCTCCTCCAATCTTTGTTGCCCATTTATGAAGTGCTCTATGCCATGGTGAGAGATTAAATTGTGAACGCAACAAATAGTTGGGATCCAAACGACCTCTTCCAGGGCCAGCAATACGGTTCCACACCATGACAGAGGCGGGCAAACCAGCCAGGTAAAGTTCTCGAGCCACAAGCATGGAAATCTCTGCAGTCCATCTTTCCCGCTTGTGATTCCGAGTTCGTTCAAGCGTGCCGCCACCACCACGGACAATTTTCATCGAATGCGGTGCAGTTATCAATATAGGGCCTCCAAGGCAACACACAAAATCTAAACCACCTCGCTGCAAGATGGGCGCTGGAGGATGCAAGGCCGATGCTTTTGCTTTCGCGCCTGCTTTTGTCTTTGCCACTGGTACTTGAGGGACTTCTTCTTTGCATTCCTTGGATCCACTAGAGTTTTGCGTGTCTTTCTCAGTCTCGGAACTCTTCATAGCACGTGCTGCACGTTGGATTGCTACGACGGAAGCCTCAAGCTTCTCAGGCGAAACGACCTGCTGCTTCCCCGAGCATCCATCACTGCAGGTCCGCATCAGAACGGGAGGTTGAGCTGGTTGAGCCTCCTGCGAATCTGGCGTTGAAGTTCCATATTGTGCTGAGCTCTGCATGCGGATCATTGAGGGTTTGTCCATGACTGCGTCTTCTTCACCGTCTGTCTCGAGGCAAACATCATGGTTCACCAGACATGGTGCACCAAACGCCCACGCAATGAACTCCTCGTACTGAATGCCCCCGGATTCCTTCTGCTGAATCTGTTCTAGCAATCCTGCAATTTCAGCACTCAGTGCATCTGAGCCTTGCAAGGAAGTCAGCAGCATCTCCAGCTCCGCAAAATCCAGTTTCCCATCCTTGTTCAAATCAAATTTCTGGAAAATCTGAGTCACGTCTGCCTCCGTTATGGACGAGGCCTCCAGCACCGACTGGTTCAGCGGTTTGTCGTTCTTGGCTTCGTTTTCTTGCATACCACCCTGGGGGCCCTCAGTCTCTTGCGGCTTCAAACTTTCAGGTACTGGAGCTTCGCACATTGCAGAGAGGCCTCCAGCCGTCCATTTGACAAAGCTCCTGAATGCATCTCCAAGCGCAGGGTTTCCTTCAATGTGCGGCGAAATGAGCAAGACTCGACCCTTTCCATGTGGACCTGCCACAACCGCTGGTGAGCCTTGCATGAGTTTTGGGTAAGTGCCCTTTTTCCCGCAAAGCTGAGACTGGAAATCCACCAAAGAGTCAACGGCAGAATCCAAAATTTCCAACAAAGGTCCGTTGGCGTAGGGGGCAGCAAACTCTTCTTGTAGTGAGCCTGCGATCTTTTTGCCTGCTGCCGTTGGTCTCAAACGGCAGTCGGCGGTCTTGCCACGATCCCAGTGGTCTATGTCCAGAACGTTGACTGGCAGTAGGTCGTATCCCCACGAAGTACCCAAATATGCACCAGCGCAAATTCCAACATATCCACCGCCAGCCTTTCAAGCTTCCGGCGCTCTCACAGACAAACTGGCATCAGGTTCATGTTGAGAAAACACAAATGTCTGCCCGCCTTCACAAAGCTGCGTATTCTCTCTCCTCCCAGTTCACCCAAGGCATCCTGTGATGCAAAACAGTTGAGTGAACAATACAAAACACTTCTGTTGAGGCCATTTGGTTGAGTTGAATGAGAATCCAGCGGTTCATGAGTCGTGGCAAAAGCAATGATAGGACCGGATAACCCCACATGTGAACAACTTCGAAAGATTGAGGCTGCAGGGGTCAAGTGCGGAAGAGTGAGCATGGGGAAGAGACAGGCGAGACAGATATAAGGCGTGAGGGTCTCTGTGTGTACGTGAGGTGTGTGTTTGTGTGTATGTGCTTGTTCGTCAGTGTGTATCAGTGTGTGGGTGGATGTATGCTGCTTGGCGCTTGTGTGCGTGTAGGTGTTGGGGGGTACTACAGTAGGTCTGCGTGCATTTAGGAATGTTCGACGGTGTGCGCCTGGAGCATGTGTCTAACAACAGGTGGCCGGAAGACATCATGGCACCGGCGATCCGTGTGCCAACAAAACAGTCAAGTCAAGCCCAGGGTGCTCGGGCAGGCTCAACACAAGAGCCGGCAGCTCACTAGCCGACGTGACATCAGCAAGCCGCTTCAGTACGACTTCGAACAAAGATCTCGTCAGAGAGCCGGTCGACGGAGACGAAGTGGTCGAAGTGTCCTGAGCAGGCGACGCCAGGGCGTACATCCAACCCCTTGGCGAGCACCAAGTGCCGCACACAGCAAGCACATGCGACCGGCAGAGCGACGGTGCCCAGACAACGCCAGCGCGACGCCAGGGCGTACATCCGACCGCAAACGCTACCAGCAGAGTGGCGGTGCCCAGACGACGCCGGCGCGACGCCAGGGCGTACATCCGACCCCTTGGCAAGCAGCAACTGCCGCACACAGCGCGCAAATGCTACCGGCAGAGCGACGGTGCCCAGACGACGCCAGGGCGTACATCCAACCCCTTGGCCAGCAGCGAGCGCCGCACACAGCACGCAAATGCTACCGGCAGAGCGGCGGTGACGCCAGGGCGTACATCCGACCCCTTGGCAAGCAGCAAGGGCCGCACACAGCGGCGGTTGTGTGTGAGA